GTACAAATAGAGCAGTTGGCAGGATGCAGCAAGGGAAGAACAAAGGTGATGAAAAGAAGTAAAGAAAAAAGTCCACTGAGACTACAGCCAACAAGAATAATCTCATCTGTAACCTCAACTTGCCCAACATGGAGGAGTATTTAGTGCACACCAAAGGTCAAACTTAAATCTGAAAGATTTAAAATATTTCCCGCATATAGATGAAAAAGTGTCAGAGGATACACAGCAGCAGGATTTTCAAAAACATTTGAGCAGGTAAGTTGTAGGATACCTAAAAAAAAAAATTCATCAGACACTGTCTCCATGTCTTAGGGAATAGACTTATAGCGGTTAAGATACTTAGGACAGTTGTATTTAATTAATTTCTCTTAAGGATACAGAATTTCTGTACTATGCAATACATAGCCAGGCCAAAAGCCTTGAACAGAAGGAGTGTCCTCATGTGTTCAGTGTATCACTGCACCATCACACAAGGTCAGGTTCCAGGAATGAGGTCCCCTTGTTAGCAGGATATTCCAGCTCACCTAAGAAGCCCTTTCAGAAAGGCTGGGTAGTCTGTACGTACAGTTCTACAGACTTGTCCTCACATCTCCCAGCTTTGCAGCATACTTGATCCTAGGCAAGTGGTGTATTTCTAGTTAACCATATATATATATAATCTCCTGCTCTATTGTAGAAGGGTCCTGAAGCCCTTAATATGAGTGAGGCTTTGCTTACAAGGTTTATAACCTGCTAGCCACTCAGGTAGACATATGATTCATGTCTGCAGTCCATGTCTTGAAAGCAGCAAAGAATTTTATTTAAAATTGGACAAGAAATCATGGCCTTGAAATAAAATTCAAATACACATAATTAAACATAATACAATTCTTAGACATTATATTTTTGTATAGACATGTCAACCTGGCTGTACACTCATTAGACTTGGAGAATTCACATTCTGGTTTTGGCTTGTTACACTCAAGTATTTGTGTGTTTGCTACACATAGGGTTTGGGATTAAAGTAAAAAAGGAATATGAAAGGGTTGTATCTGTGACAAGAGTGGATACAAAAATACATCAGTCCCTATCTTCCTCTCTATTTCAATCGTTATCAGTCAATATCAACACTGTAAAACTGAAATAGTTAGCAGCTCTCACTGCAATCATCTCCTGTGTTTCTCTGAATGCCACCCAAATCTGGCTGTGTTGACTTACAGTCATAAGTATGACCATGTTCTCTACAGTCATACTTACTTTTTTCCTGTCTAATATCTTGGCTGGCTTATCATCAATTTGATCTCACCATGAAAAACTCCGAACGGCTGATCTCATCTGCTCAGTCCTGCTAGTTACTAACATAACTACCAGATTCTCTTTCACTCCATGCCAAAATCTGTGATTATTTTCTTAGAACTGTGTCTTTCTACATGTGTTATATCAAATCCGTACCTTCGCTCCCACAGCGGCTCCGCCTGTCCAGCTTTCCCACGTACAGAGCCAAATCTTACTCGCTTGTTTCCCTCTTGCCTTGACCCTCGCAGCATCTTCCCGTCAGACTTCCTACAACACATAGCACCGTGCCATGTTTACACCAAATTAAGTGCAGTTGCCAAGTCTCCTATCTGAACATCTGATCAAATCGCTCCCCTCTTCATGCCCCTCAGCTAACTTATCTCATGACAAAATCAAGCTTCCAGTCACTACATTCAAAGAATTTCTTAGCTCTCCCCCCACTACTTACCACACTTGCTGAATCTCCCCCCACATCCTCTCATCTCCCACAGCATTGCTGCCCTCAGAGGTCTATGTGTTGGTGTCTCATCTCTTTGCTGTCCTGTATGCTTTGCTTCTTCTGCACAGCTGCAATGCCACATTCTTGCATTTATATTCAATTTTCTGAGAAGACAACACGTACATCTCTGCCAACAGACTGCAACCCCCCTTGGCTCAAGCTACAAAGACTTTTCAGAAAGGCCTTAACACACTACAGTTAGTGCAAAGAAAATGTCAAATTTTAAGGCTGCACTGGCCACTAAACTTCGATGCTCTCTATGATCCCTCCAGCACCCTCTCAGAGGAGATTAACAGGGGAACCAGGGTGAGAGACTTTGAAGTTGAAAAGAAACTTGAACCAATTGAATTAAAAAGAAAAATAATACTAACAATGAGGATGTTAAATTAGCTACAGATATTATACAAGTACAAAAATACATTCAAAGATACAAGAGAATACGTTAATACAGATCCCACACCCTCCGGATGACAACATCCTAAGCAGGAAGGTCCCAGACTGGACTCAGCAGCAGACAGGAGCACCCGAGACCAGAGTCCTCACGACAGTCCAAAAAACCCAGAGAAGGAGCTGTGCTGCTCCCATGCGGGCACACAGAGGCAAGACGATCTGTCCCAACAAACGGTGCTCCTCTGCATGCTGAAAACAGGAGGTAGGAACACCAGCAGCACTGGAAGAGATGATGAAGAACCAAGGGCAGTCCTTCCAGCCCAAGAGGCACTAAAAGCCTGAGGAACTGTCGCAGGAGCCCTTATATACTGAGCACCATGGGAAGGAATGCTATGATTGGTCCATTTGGGTCACCTGATCCATCCTCGCCTCCCCATGGGCACAGCTCCCCCTTCCCCACTGTGATTACCCCTGGGCCAGGAGACCCAGAGAGTTTTAATCTCGGGGCTCTCAAACCAGGGCAGAAGAAGCTGGAAAGAATAACATAGTCCTAAGCAAGTGTTCATAGCTAAAAATGCAATGACATTGCAAACTGTGGTTATAAATTCATCTGCACTGACACAAACCAAGCAAAACACTATTAGGACCAGTGGGCTTTGCGGGGGGATTCACTGTTGCTAGCAGAGGGAAGTCCATACGGTTTGTCAGGGCACTCTACTGTCCTATGGTTTGGTTTATTGATTACAAGAGAGGATCTCTGAGCATAATTTAAACGAGCAAATTCTCAAGCGTGAGGAAAATTATGTGCACACAGAAGCGGTCCTATATTTTAGGGGTGTAAGCACCTGAACAAGGTCTGGAAGTTCCTGAATATCTGCTGTTTATACAAAACACAACTTTAGAAGGATTCACAGCACGCTCTGCATTTTTTACATATGTGCATTGCACAAGACAAACTGTTTTATAGAAGAATTGGGAAATTTGGCCCAAGTATTGAGCTTAGTCTACAAATAGATACGAAATCCCCCTTGGCAGCAGTCACAATTTTTCAGGAGATCACAGACTTGTGTCATCTTTCCTGTGTTCTGTGGAACTCAGTCACTCTGCCAAGAAATGAAACAGTTTTGCTAGATTTGCACATGACAGATATTTCAATATATGCTGCAACTCCTCTTTGGCTAGACAACCACACAGGGAGGGAGGGAGGGAGGGAGGGATGGAGGGAAGGATGGAGGGATGGATGGATGGATGGATGGATGGATGGATGGATAGGGGGATCAATTGCATAACAGCTTCTGTTTATCCCTATTTCTGTTCCCTGATACTGCATTTCCTTTAGCAAATTCTCATACAGATCTATATGTCAAGTGCTCTCTTTAAATTGTATTTTTATGGCAAATGCAGGTTCTTAATTAGCATTGAACAAAACTGATTTGATGATCCCTGGAACATGCTGCCTAAACAATATAACGTAAAACAGCAAGGAAGGGATATGTCATCTCTTTTTTCAGGAGAGATAACCAATACAATCTGTTGAGAAATATGGTTCCCAAGTCTGTCTACAAACGGCCCTATAAAACTCAAGTCTTCATTTAAATAGAGTTTGCAATTCTGATGTTTGTTCAGCTATTTTTTTTCCTCATGAACTGAATTAAAAATAATGAAGTATCTTTTTTGAGGCTTGAAAACAACTCTAAAAATATATCAATGATAGGCAGCTATCTCCCTATGCCCTAATGGTACATTGAACTAAAGCCAAAAGTCATCACTGGTAAATGGTTTAGATTGAAATAATTTTTGGAAATTCTTAATTAATGAAAATACTTATCCTGCAGTTTCTCCCACCAGACTCCATCTCTCCAATCCTCAATAGCATCAGCAATACAATTATACGTAACTAATAAAAAAAACCTTTTAAAAATGGAAGAGCAGAGAAAAATAAATTGCACTTGTTTTAAAATGTAACAGTGTAGTTGTACTGAGTGCGTTAGGTACAGGCCTTTTTTTTTTTTCTTTTTTCATTTTATATTTAGCCTGCCCCAAATGGTGCCCTGAAGTCCTGGGGAAATGAGTTTGATGTTCGTGCTCGCTTCACTACTGGTTACACTGGCCTGGATTGCATCCGCAGAGGGTACGTTGTGCCTCTGCCTCCCAGACATCCAGCCACAGACTGCACCTGAAACAGTCAGTGATCAGTAGATAGTAATCAATGATAATTAATTAGTTACCATTTATTGTAAGTGTTTGGTTTTGGTTTAAAAATCTACCAACTGCAAACATTAATCATTCCTTATACAAATTATATGGATATAATTGTCTTTGCTTTCATAATAGGAACTTCTATGTTATGTGGGAAATTTCTTCAAAATAAGTTGTATGAAATCTCAGAGACAAACAACTGTTAAATACTCTAATTATCATTCCTTCAAAAAAGAAATACGGATGCCTGACCTAATTCTAAGAGGGCAGAAGAGACACTCTTCCTATACGTGCATGTTCAGTGCGTGTGTTTGTAGCTGTATTTACTAGATGGGCAAGTAGGAGACAGATGCTTAATCATGCCACACCTCTCTAATTAATCCTTAATCATTGACTTACATCTACTGAATGTCCCTCAAGTGTTATTTTTTCCACAACATTTACCTTAGCGTTTATTTCAACATGTGCTGTTCGTTTTATGACTTCAGAGAGGATGTGGTTATGGTTTGACAGAAAGGAAGCTTTGCTGTAGATGGGAAGATAAAGCCCAAAGCACCTACGCTGCCTTTTGAGCACCCTTTTTTTTTTTTGTAAATTAACTGTCTTCCTTCTTGGGGCTCTTTCTTGGACAGGCGCTCAACGCGCAGGACAGGAATCCCATGTCCTGGGAGCGGACCGTTCTTGGCTCAGCCATGAATAACTGTGTGCTCCTGGAAGAACTGCTGATCAAAAAATCACAGCAGAAGAGAAGGACTTCACCCTCCAACTTCAAAGTCCGCTTCTTTGTCTTAACCAAATCCAAGCTGGCTTACTATGAGCATCGCCATGGGGTACGTCAGCCATTTTCTCTCTCATAATGCAGTAACGGAGGGAAGGATGAAATTTAGTAAAGGAAGGGAAGGATGCTAATGGAGGGAAGGATGCTCTTTGCTGAATTTTAACTTAACTTTTCCGGCCTTTGCCACAGCACCATTCACTGAAAATTGCAAAGTCAAATGGGTTGTTTAGAGCTTCAGACCGGGGGGGTGTTTGGTGTGCTTGGAGGAATAAGACTACTTTTCTATCTTGTGGAAAGGCTCTAGTTTTGTTGTAGGAATTTAGCGCGGGCTGTTATAACTGTTGTGTGTAAGGAGCTGTGTGAGGTTGTTGCTGGCAGTCTAATCTTCAGAGGGAGCTTCAGAAAGGATGTGATGATGGGATCCGTGCTCAGACCAGGCATTGTTTCCAGAAGCTTGCATTTTCCAGATTTGCTAAATATGACAGAAGACAATCTGCACGCCCCATTATGCTAAGTGTTCTAGTAAAGTGTGAATTATTTCCATCTTCTCTTTGGCTGGATGTTTGCTGAGCCTCATTACGATTGTAAATAATATTGCTTGTTTTCCAACAGTCACTGAACATGCTGTTAATCCATTATGTTTAGACACCGTTACTGCATGCAGACCAGCACTGGGGATCACGCTGCCTTGATCTCTGGCATTGACAACTTCAGACCATTTGATCTTGCTCAGTTGCAGAAAAATAAGTTAAAAATGAACCCCAAAATAAAAGCAAAGTATGACGTGCCTCTGTATTGTATCATAACACAGTTGAGGTTGGAACCACCTTTAAGGGTTAACAGTTTGCAAGTTATTTCTTTCAAATATGCCCAGCAAAATGCTTTTCTTGCTTTTATTTTATAGTCTGTGTTTTTCTTACCTCCATATTTAAACTGGAAAACATTTATTGCTGCATACTGCACCTATGTTTGGTTTGAGAGTCTGTTCAACTGGTATCCAAACAATTTTTCAAATACCATTAGTTTAAGATTCAATTTCCTTTATAACTATTCCACTTAATTATTCTTAATTATCACTGTAACATTTTTAAAAGCATCTATGTGATTCTGCTGTATTTAGAGAAATCTTTACCAATAGTTTTCTTTGGTGCTTTCTGAGTCCTGGTGGACTTGAGATGAATACAACACACACTTTGCCTGGATACTTTTGCGGAATTGCAGTAGGTGTCTGTTGTCATATTTAGACACTGAAATAGCTTGGAAAATCTGACTTGGTGACTTTCAGTGGGGCATAGACTTCAAATACTGTGTGAGTGTCTTTGGAAATTTTATCCCCTAGCCTTCCTAAAGGTCAGTTAGGCCAGATGAGTGGTTGGTATATTGTCTACTCTATGTCATGTATTAGCTATTATAAACGTGCATGCTGATTATATATGAATAAACACACATCTCACTTTAGGTCCTCACATTTGATGGACAGGGGATATACCTGTAACTACAAGGATGATCTTCCATGAAACGCTGATTTTTTTTTGCCCGATACAAACTGTCAAAATCAAGTTGTTACATGGCTTGAAGAACTTTGTACTAAATGAGGAAAAAAGAGTTTGTTTTATGAAATGCTTCCTGAGCTGATCCTCAGCCTCTGCAGTAATCTTCCCCAAAATTAAACCATCCTGGTGAAGACCTCCACGTGGTCAGGTCATCACTGGTCCAGAGAGGAAAGCTCAGAGCAGCCTGTGCAAGCACCATCTTTTTTGTGCTGGGAACAGAGTGAACCCCCAGGAACTGAGGTCACAGCCGGTGAACGGAAAATTATGGTACCTGCCAGACACGGGGGCTGTGCCCATCTCCATGGGTCACCCAGGGTTTGGAAGCATGTGCAGGCATTGAAATCGATGGTTGGTGGTGCTCGTTCTCTAGCGCAGAACCTGGCGCGGGCTTAGCTCTGCTCTGCGGGGACTCTTGGATAATCTATGGGGCTGGCAGGGGTTAGCACAGGCTGTCACCACTGCCTGCTTTGGAGGTTTAGGGCAAAGTGGTGGGGACACACGGCTGCTCTCTGCCAGCTGGCTGCAGGGCTGAGGAGTGTCTGCAGGCAGGCGGACTGCTCTGCTCAGATGGGGACAGCAACTGGCTTGGCTTTTAAGTTATATGTTTTGCAAGGGAAATCTCAGTGGACGCTTGCTATAGGAGGTTTCAAAGAGTTTCTTTAAGAACCACTTACCAGCCTGTCCAGTGGTTTATTGTACTTGGACTTCAATACTGCAGTGTATCTACCTCTCCAGACCCCAGTCAGGCAGTAACAACAACCTGTGCATAAAGCCACGTAAACCCATTAGCGAATTGCTTAATGGTTTGAGAAGTCCCACTGATTTCAGTTGAGTGGCTTAAAGTAAAACATACAGTTATGCATTAAGCCCAAACGTGTATTTTGCCTGTATTTAACAGGGTTTGGCACCCAGTTCCTTTCTCTGCATTTTGATGCTGTGGGTGTAAAAAGATGTCCAAATGTTTATTGTAGTAGCAAGGAAATAAACAAGTCAAAGGGATACAGGGATGATTCTGTAAATGATACCAAAAGCTGTCCACACAACACACAGCAAAAAGGCAAATTTTTGCAATAACTGTAACAGGATTTTCGTTGTAATGGCCATAGCTAGACAGAAAGCACTGTTCTCCTCAGGGGCCAAGCACACAATCACCATTAATGTTAATGAAATGTATTTACATATCTCATCAGGAGAATGAGCCCCCAATAACTGACAACAATAAGAAGCTGTATTTTCTGGAATTCATTACACAGTGCACAATGCAGGGTTGTCTTAACATAAAGCAAAGCGCTGGTAACAGACGCTTGCATTCAGCCCCCGTCTCTACTAAAATACATCAGAAGTGCCTTTATTATAACATGCAAACCAATTCCACAGGCAAAAAATTCTTCACTTCCACGGTCTTATTTTATAGCTGCTGTACATGTGAGTAAATGAGCACATGGGAATAATCATTTTAACTATTTCAATTAGTTTGATCCTTACCAGAATAAGTGATAATGCAGACACTGTGTGGTACTCTCCGGGTGCCAATACACTTGCAGTATTGCAGAAGAAGCAGACAAGTGAATGCCTCTGGAGAGGTCTCTAGGACAGAGTTTTGTATATCTTTATTTAGCAAAATCACTTAAACTGGAGAGTTATCTACACCCCATTCACCTAACATCTTATGTTGTTTGATAAATCCTTCAGAAGACTGAAGAGAGGTAGTTTAGTATTTCAGATACTAAGTAGAGGTTCTTGCATTGTCTCCAGCATGTCATATTCCTTCCTGGATGGAGACAGGCAGAAACGAGCATTGATCCTTGTATTTCAAGCTGGCTGTAGTCTAAAAGTGTCTGTCTTCTGGGCTGGTACCACATTAATGTGGTACCATTACGTGATCTCTACATCAGAGCTGTTCATCTTGTCATGGCTCAGACCTGCACAGGGTCCTTGGGTCTCTTCGTATCAACTCCAGAGAAGTGGTCCGTGTCCCTACGCCACAGTTTTCCCTCTTCAGAAATAGACATCTTGCCCTGTGCAGGCATTCTGAGAAGTATTTCAGGGCTGAGAAAGTTGCATTTAACACCTGAGAAGTTCAGGCACATAAATGTTTTTAAATTTTCTATCTTCACTCATAGGTTATTACTAGTCCAGCTTTTAAAGGCAGCGATGAAAGGCACACACAGAAAAGGACCGAATTCCCTTTTCATTTCCATTACCACTCTTCTTCCTACACTGGCCAGATGCTCAAGAGGTCACATAGCATGAGTCAGCCTTGTCCTGGGCTCTTTCATTCAGATCTTTGACATTCAGATATAAAGATAGCACTTTAGTGCATCTTGAAATCTGCTTTCAATCTCTTGTTCCAGGAGAACAAAGCAATGAACTTGGTTGGAAAGTCTTTTATCAGCATCCTAAAAATGCTTCAGCTGCTTCTCTTGCAGTATCTCACGTTGGAACAGCCCAGGAACAAAAGCAGTGCTTTGTCCCTCAGCCCAGCAGTCCATTTTACCTTGATTATTCTACACAGAATCCGACTTCTCCATCCTGCCTTGGAAACACTTGGTTTTTTCCCCAAGACTCTAATGTAAATAGACTAAGACTTTTCTTCTGAAGATCTCTGGTTTGGGGATCCTGTTAATGACAGTGACCATTCATACCATTTCTCATTGCCGTGTATATTCTCAGTACCTTAACAGTCATGAAGATATAATCGTCATCTAAAGAGAATTTAATTATGGTTTTAAAGACTACATTCCAAATAAATACTTATCTGAGTAGATCCATCATTCTTCATAACTTGTCATTTATTTATTAACAGGGGTTTTTTTGCTTGCAAGAATTTGCAATACCATCTGCCTTCGGAAGCATATCTCCAACTAATTTATTGATAATACACATATCACCGACAAAAAAGTCAGGCTTGGCATCTGTCTGCATCACACCTGTTTCAATGAATTTTTATGTAATAAAATCAATACAACCATAAGTAAGATGGAGACAGGGGAAAAACCTGCCTTTTTTTATATTGCAATTAACATTATAATTGATACTGTTGCAATACCTGCCTGTTGCTTTATACTCTTTCATCCTTTCTAACTAATTTTTTGTCCTTAAAGCTTATGGTTTTTTAATGAAAAAGTGATGTAATTTAGTTGATTTATCTTAGCTTTCATTGAATCCTTCATTCACTGCAATCCACTCTTCCCGGTCTTTGTTAGAGACAAGAAGAGTTTTGAAGAAACTAATATAGCATTCAGTATTTGTTCCATATGCTTTCATGTAACATAAACCACTTATTTCCATCATATTAGAGAGCTCATTTGAAAGCCAAGAATCTTCCTTTTCTTTTTCTGTGTCTTGATGGTGATGTTGATTTTCTTGTCAAACCATCAATAGTAGGGATGCACACACTGACAGTCATCTCAGAAGGGACTTGAGACAGTGTAAACATTGGAAATGGTGTTGTCTGATGTTAAAATACATGCTCAGTGAAAATATTGGGCTATTGCAG